TACTCGCAGTTCCAGTGTCCGGTGAGGCCCACTCCTTGGTTCATAGATGGTGTCTTCAAGCTCTCTTCATGTGAAAGGGGTGAGGGAGCTCTCTGGGGTCTCTCTTATTTATTTATTTAATTTATTTTTAAAAAAATATTTTTATTGATTTCAGAGAGGAAGGAAGAGGGAGAGAGAGAGATAGAAACATCGATGATGAGAGAGAATCATGTATCAGGCTGCCTCCTGCATGTTCCCCACTGGGGATGGAGCCCACAACCTGGGCATGTGCCCTGACTGGGAATGGAACCTCGGCCTCCTGGTTAAATAGGTCAACGCTCAACCACTGAGCACGCCGGCCAGGCCTGGGGTCTTTGTTATAAGGGCGCTAATCCCATTCATGAGGGCTCTACCGTCATGATCTAATCACCTCCTAAAGGTCCCACCTCCTAATACTGCCATGTTTGGGCTGGGTTTCAACATGGGAATTTTGGGGAGACACATACATTCAGACCATAGCAGTGGGGCTTGTAACTCAGATGACAATGCGTGTGTCTTGGGGGCGGGGGGGGCAGAGTGTCAGTATGACTGTCCCTGTGATTGTCTCTCTGTATTGTGAATACCCCCGTGGGTTTCTCAGTGATGGTGTGTGATGGTATGATGATGGCCATGCGCTTCTCGGTGATATCATGAACTTGGGGACAGTATGACTTTGTCCTGTAAGTGTAAGTCTCAGCGATTGTCTGAGTGCCATGAGACAGCAGGCCTAGAAGCAAGAGTGTGACTATGTTTGTAAGATGACGTGCCTGTGAATATCAGGGTTCCTGTGGCACTATGTTGTCGGTGTGCAGGTGAGTGCCATACACCTGTGGGTAATGGTATGCCTCTGTGACTGACGCCAGGGTCTGAGTCTGGTGTACAGAACAGCGAGACTGTTGGGCTGTTTCCCGTCTTTTGCTCTTAGAGAGAAGGCTGCCATGAATAGTGTACCTATGTCAAGACAGCCATGGATAAGTGTGACCATGGCCTTGTGCCTCTGGGTGACACGTTTCATACGCCTGTGTGACAGTGTGTCCCGGTGCCTGTTCCTGTGCCTTTGGGTGACTGGCTGCGTCCTGTGTCAGGGACTTCACACTGGGTGTGACAGCCAGCTTTTCGACATTGGGTCCCATGCCTATGGGTATTGGTGACACTGCCCTACCTGGGTGACAGTGTGATGGCATTTCTTTGCCTATCTCTCTGCCTTATCTATGTAGCCGTTTTTATGATTTTCCCTGGGCTGGAGTTAGAGTCCTGGGAGTTCTGCGGTGGTGTGACCGTGTGTCTTAAGGGTCTTGTGATCATGCCCATGCGCCTCTGTGACAATGTCCCTTTGCCAAAATTGGGTTGTTTCCAGTCTTTTGCTCTTAGAAAGAAGGCTGCCATGGATAACAGTGTACCTCTGTCAAGTGCAGAGGTGTTTCTGTGGGACGCAGTCCCTGAATTGCGATGTGGGTCAAGGAGTAAATACAGTATCACTCTCCTTCTCCCTTCCTCTCTGTAAAAAATCAATACAATATATTTTTTAAAAAAAGAGTAAATACATTTGTGATTTTGACAGACATGGCCAAACTGCCTCCATTGAAAGGTAACTTGTATTCCCATCAGCAAGGAATAAAAGTTACTTTTTAAAAAAATGTCCTGTGTTTGTGTGACTATATTCTTGTGGCTGTCCAGTTGTCCATGCTGTCCCCATGACAGTCCCTGGGGATGCAGTTGGATCCTGACGGTGTTTCTGTCTCTCAGCCTGTGTTGACAGCATGCCTGTGTGTATGACTGCCCAGTGTGACAGCCTTTGTCCGAGACCATCCTGGGAG